CAATCACGCACTTACACGCGTTGATCGGTTATGATAAGAATCTGACGTAATTATTGAGCGGGCACGTTTTGGGCGCAGAACCATCGAAGAACTATCTTCGAAACGAGCTGTTTACATTGCTGGGATACACAGAATATTTTAAAGGAATATAAGTCTCTTATATATTGTTAATCTATACTTATTGTTATGTATTTTGATATCTACTATTTCTTTTATATATTGCGTACTGTTATATATTTATATATTGTACTTGTATGTTGTGTGTTAAACATTTATCATGTTATTTATTGTTACATTGTGTATTCATTGTCATACTTTTATATAATTTTGATGTCTTATATATATTGTTCTTAGTAGATATAATGATATAAATATATCTTCGCATTCTTGATTGATCCGCAATTAGAACTCCTATTAACATACATGATATTTCGGTGGGAACATTTGTTGCTATGAAAAATTATAATCATTAATTAAAAACTGGTTTTCGTTGCGAAAGTTGATCAGAAGGCTTGGTACATGTTTGGTCGTACAGTTACTAATGAATAAAATATGACGTATTGTCGTATTTAAAAACGCAGGTTTTTGTTACGATAATGCATTGTATTTTATGTACACGTAAGAAATGCTATTTAAAGTATGATCCGATCTAGATAGTGTACAGTAATTGACTATATATAAAAATATTATAAAGTAAATGTGTAATAAATAAATTTTAATTATTATTATTTAAAATATTGTGAATTTAGCAAAACTGTATGGGACTTTAACGTTTGTTTTAGTCAGCACCATACTTTCATTCGCTATGGCTGTATGAGTTACCAAACATCCTGTATATCTCGTTAGTACAGTCTGTAAAGTAAGAGCGTGTACGGGTTAATGTGTAGAAAAATTTATTTTTAATGATGTTTAAGTACATGGATTTGTTGTACTCCATGAGAAGAAAAATGCTATACCATTAATAATGAGTCCAGTCACCACCGGCATTGATAATTGCCTGGCATCTCCGAGGCATACTTTCCACTAAGTTGACTGCGTATTCGTTCGTCTCCAAATGAGACGAATTTGTCGTGTCAGCTGCTTCAAAGTGCACACTCTTCTTCCTCGAAGCTTGTGCTTGAGATATGCCCACACATTTTCAATGGGATTTGCATCTGGCGACTGCGATGGCCAATCAAGCGTGACGATGCCAGACTGCTCTTTCCACTCGATGCAAAGCTTGCTCCGGTGTTTTGGGTCGTTATCTTCCTGTAAGATCCACTCCACGTTTTTTTTTATGAAGCGTTGTTCAGCAATCAGCAACAAACACTTCTCATAAACTTTAAGCATTTTCGGAGCATTTAAATTGTATGAAAACAGATATAATGCTCCAAAATCCTGTTTCGAAAAGCAGCCCCAAATATGAACTTTTACAGGGTGTTTAACAGTCCGTTGTATTAATCTATTGGTCAAGGTTGACCAGGAACGTCGGATGGCAGTATATCCCCAAACAGAAGCTTCGTCCGTAAAGATTACGTTGCTCTAATCTCCAAATTCTCCTTTGCCCAAGCGAGTATTTTCGTCACATGTTTTTCGCCTAACAGTGGTTTCTTCATTGTTCTTTTGTGACAAAACATTCACGACAAAGATTTCATCTATCGGCTCACAAAAAACTAGGACGATATTTGAAGCCAACTGCTGTTTACACGCCATGTTACACGCTCTTACTTTACAGACTGTAAATTCAACAGTTATAATTGCGAAAGCAGCGATACGGTAATCTTGCAAAATTACATTTACTTTTACTCAATGATATCTTTATTTTAATATCATTAGTAAACGTTTAGTAAACGTGGTATAGTATATAATATAAAATGATATACACGTATGTATTGTATGTTTTTTATTATATTATATTATATTATATAACGTAAGGTTTTATTTTATAGTGACTCTTTTATAGTGACTTTATTTTAAAGTGAGATATTCATACAACGTTACTATAATTCAATATTTTGGTGCTAATTGTACATAAGAAAAGTATCAATTTCATTATATACACTGCTCAAAAGAATTATGGCATAGATAATATATTGCCGAAAATTGGCCATCTTTGACTAGCGACTACTTGGCGAAAAATTATTGTAGACTAGTGTTTTTTTTTCAAAATGAAGCTCGAAGTCTCTACTTTAAGAATGTGTCCCTATTTTTTGCATGCGATGCACCCCTACCTCTGTAACCCCTAACATCTGAGGGCATGTTTGGTATATTGAAAATTGCAAAGTTGACGGAATGCACGGACGTGGACAATTTTTTTCGGCGTTGCCGTTTGCATCATCATAAAGTTCAAATCTTCCCCATCAATTTAAAAAAAAATGGAGCCGCTACAATTTTTTTTCGCAAAGTTACAGCCTTTCAAAAATATCGTTGTTTTTGGCGTTCGGGCCAAGTGTGCACGCATGTGTGTGTGTGTCCGTTATAGAAGAGATAAAGACCCCGTGGTTCGTCAATTCCACAGTCAATAATTACTGTCGAGACGGAAAATTTTAGTTCCCTCGGTCGAGAGCAGTTGTTGATGCGAATGGTTCATCGGTTTGCGAAACGGAATTATCCGTTACTGCGATTGAAACTCAGAAAGTTTCAGTAATAGAAAATTTCAAGTTGTTGCTACAGAATATTTTTCTGAATACAAATAGGACATTAATCGCCCGAAGATTATTTGAAACGTTTTTAAGTCAAGCGTGCTCATTATCGCGGCGATGATCTCTACGTTAATGCAACAGTCAAATGGATTTTCTATTATCAGTCGATGTAATGGAATTTGGACACGCTTCGATACAAAACACGTGTCCATGTGTTTCGATATTCAATATTTGGGCGTTTCAGTTTGTTGGATCAAACGCGCAGTGAGTAGTAGTAACGTATGCGGTTGGTTGATAAAAACGAACAATACATTTTAACCGGTGAATGCTGCGCGTACTAAGCTCCCGGATAACTTTCTATCACGCCAAATGGAAGATTCTGTCGCGCGTTTGTCCAAAACGAGTATTGCTCGGCGCGACGATGGATATAGTGCCATCCGCCTCGTTATTCTCGTCAGTCCACGAGCTGATTAAGCTGTGTACGCTATATCAATATTTGGAGTTGCTCGGGACGAAGGTTTAATGCACAATAGTCGAATAACGAGAGAGATGGGCCTGATGGACACGCCGATAACTGATGATTCCTTTTGTCTCGCGTAGCAATATTCGCGCACACGTCTGATGTGTAAAAATATTTCGAACGCGGACTAACGCGATTAGACAATGCCCGAATTACTTGCAAAATATGCGTGTGCAAAAGTAAAAGCGTGGCAAAAACGAAGATCATCAATATTAGATCTACAGAACGACACACGAATTTAATGGAATAGTGAATAGCATTCCAAAAAATTTTTTATTTTATTATTTAAAACATATTGGATGTACAAATTAGTTCGGTCCGTTTTCAAAAGATGGCTCCGGCTGTTATGAATGGTTCATAGTGGCTGCCGATTTCGGCGGTTTCAGAGAGGTTAGACATCTGCCAATAATATTCAGTTTATATCGCTTTGAGTTTCATACAAAAACCTCGCTTTGTACAGTGTTGAAAATGTCGAATTTTGTGTTAACCAAGCAGCATTTGCGGCAGGATTTAATTTTCCGCTTTAATTGGAAGAAAAGTGCAGCTGAAGCCCATCGAATGCTTGTTGAAGTTTATGGTGACGCTGCTCCAACTGATAAATCATGTAGGGAATGGTTTCGACGTTTCAAGGATGGAGATTTCAGCGTCGAAGACAAGCCTCGCTCTGAACAGCCAAAAAAATTCGAGGACAAAGAATTAGAAGCATTACTCGAAGAAGATCAGAATCAAACGCAAGAAGAGCTTGCAGAATCATTGGGAGTGACACAACAAGCCGTTTCCGTACGATTGATAGATATGGGAATTATTCAAAAACAAGGAAATTGGGTGCCTTATGAACTGAAACCGAGAGACGTTGAAAGGCGTTCTTCATGACAACGCTCGGCCCCCTGTCGCAAAAGTCGTAAATAAATATTTGGAAACGCTCAAATGGGATGTTTTACCGTACCCGCCGTATTCTCCGGACATTGCTCCTTCTGATTACTGGTTGTTCCGAAGGACGCAGTACGATTTGGCAGGTCACCGGTTCACTTCTTTCGCAGAAATCGAAAATTGGCTCCAAACATGGATCGCCTCAAAAGACGAGTCATTCTTTCGAGTTCGAATTCGAATTCGAAAATTCTTTCGAATTCGAAAATTGCCTGAGAAATAGGAGAAAGTAGTAGCCAACGTGGAAAATAATTTAATTGATCTGTTCATTCATTTTATTTTGAAATAAATACATCTTTTATAATAATAAGTTGAATATTATAATAATATATAATATTCATATAATATTCGAACTTTTATAATAATAATTTGTACCCCCAATACGTTACACTGGCAATACAAACTTTGTAGGTATTTATAATATTTACATTGTCAATAATGAAAATATTATGATAAAACAGATCAATTCTTGCGTATATTTTGCTATAAACAATAACGAGAAAGGTTAGCTTGGGCCGATATTTGATGGTAGCTCTTAACCCCCATGCGCAAGAGTTTTCCTCGACTTGAACGTTACCAAAATGCAAGAGTGTTTTTGGAAGGTGTTGCAAAGTAAACGCGATTATTTCTAATGTTTTTGGGTATCTGTTTTCATCGTATTTATGTAATTAATGCGAAAGATGTCCAGGAATAAAAACACAATTTAAAAAGTGCTAAAAATATAATTTTACAAAAGGATACGATGTGGGATATCTACCATGCGCGGATATTGCGTGTCTGTGTGCGTTTGAGCGTTTCAGAGAATATATGGGTCCAGCACATATGTTGAGTGTGTATGTGTATTTGTATACCATATATGTGCGCGTGTGGGTATAAGTAAATTGTATATAAACAAATTAAACACAAGCTGCTTCCTCGCGTCCTTCTTGTACTTTCTCTACTCTATTCGACAGCCTGTTTGTCACTGGTTTTCTAGAAATTTTGCAAAAATGCTCTTGATACCGACTCATTTTATTCGATTAGAAATGAATCAGAATGTATTTTCTCCATGTAACTGCGTAAAGACTGCCGCTGGATGTATCTCGTTCTGTAGACGATGCAGATGTAGGCGTAGTGGGTATTGTGCCGTGTAGTGCAACGTATGAGTCCAGTATACTGTTCTTGCTGCTGTATATCTTATTCCAGACCAAATAAGCAATTGTCATCTCAGCATGTATCTGTAAAGGAAGAAATAAACTTTACTTGCGTACGTCTTTGCTACAGATTGAACAGGCCACCTTTGGATTTCAGCGCACATCCTTGTGCTCCCCGCGCTTTAAAAAACAACAGCTTACTTATATTTTCAGAACCGGTAGGAGTCATTGGGAAGATCATATTTTACCTGTCCATTCAGTTCCTGCTCGAGTTTGAATTTCTCCTAGCAGCCATTCTTATTACACACATGGTCGTAATTGCCAATGTGCTTTCATACAACGTGACGTATCATGTGTTGTTTAATGTTAGATATGTAATTGCAATCGTTTCAGATGCACATGCGATATCCTTTGATCTCCTCAGAGGTGATGTGTCAACTCTCTCTTCCTATCGAAACCTGGGTTGCAAATTTTGCACTGCTGAGGCACATTTACGCGCTTTTCAATGCTGCTCCCTCTTTTGGAATGTTTGCCACATTGCTCGCTCTCGGAAGACTCCCCCGGGTTCGCACTTTTGCTTTTCTTCTGGTTGACAGGACGATTGTATGTGTTTCTTCAGATCCGCCTACTATTTATACTTTCTGTTATAGATAGGCTCAGTATACGTTTAGTCATAATTGTTCGTATGATTTCGTATATTGTATTTTCGCAAGTTATTGTCTTTGTTAAATACGTAGTTAACCATGGCTGCAGTTGCTGATGGATTGTTTGTAAAGATCTATGAGGTATTTTTTCCACTTTTGCTTAGAAAGAGACATTCCCTTGCAGGTTTTGCATTTCTGAGGTATACTTATGGGCTTCGCAATGCTGGGGCTTCTTCCGAAATGTTTGCCGTACAGGTCACTTTCTGAGGACGGGTCCTCAATACTGCTTTTGTTTTATTTGTCAGAGTGAACGCGTCGTATTGTCTTAGTTACTCCTAATCTTTTCTCATCCAGTTATAGCCAGTCTCACTACATACTCAGTTTTTATTATTCATGTGCTTCATTGTAAAATGCCTTTGCATGGTTTGCAGGAAGTTGGTTTCGTAATTGCATGTTTTGTCTTCACATATGTACACGCAATGGTGGTGAACCGTCATTGAGTGATCTATTAACATATGCTTATTATCGAAAATTTGACCACAGATTTTGCATTGTCTAGAAAGTTTGTACTGTTCAATTTTCGTTCTGTTGAAAAGTTTGTCGTATAGATTACTCTCTGAGAACGGTCCCGGCGCCCCATTATTGCTTTTCATCTTATTTTTATAGTGATTAATCATTATGTGAGTTTTCAAATTATACTTATGTTTATATATTTTGTTACAGCGGGGCTCAGTACACTTGTATTTGCGGTTGCTCAAATGATTTTCTATGTGTGTTTCCTCGTGTCTTATTAAGTTTCTCTTATATATGGTTCTGTAGTAGCAATCTTTACATTTGTAGAAGCGATATTTGTGGTCCTTCTCGTAGTGATCATGCAACTCATTTTTTTCGCGAAAGTCTTGTTTGCAAATTTTGCATTGTTTCGGAATTTTGAAGTACTCTTTAGTGCTGCTCTCCTTGGTGGAATGTTTGCCGCACGAATTACTCTTCGAAGACGGTCCTGGCTGCATAATAGTGGTTCCTTCTTGTTTGTTAGGTTGGAGACATTGTATGCGGCTCTTCAGTGGCATATCATCCTGCAAATTATAAACAAAGTTATAGCCTTACTAAGGACACGTGTAAACGTTCTTGCGCTTTCATATAATGTAATTTTGCAAGATTACCGTATCGTTGCTTTCATAGTTGTAACTGCTGGATTTATTTGTGTCACGTTTGACCTCGAGATGTCGCTTTGTCATATCCATCTTCAGACAGAAATTTTGTTTGCAGATATTACATTGATAAAATACACTTACATACTTTTCAATTCTGCTTCCTTTTTTAACGTTTGTTGCATGGTTCGCCTTGTAATGGCTGTTCCAGTTTCTCTCTATCGTGTCACTCTTAATTGAGATTCTGTTCTTTTCAATTTGTTTGGCACAATAATTTGTCTGCGTAACCGCACAACTTTATTTCTTTTCTTCGACTAATTCCTGATATCTGAAAGAGACAAGTTTCAATATATATTCTGTATGTTCGACGAGCGACTGTTTGAAATTATTAGTACTTACTTGATATCGACAATATCCGAAAGCGAGATATATCAAGCAAACAGAAAAGGTCACGTCAAAACGGCTGCAAATAGAATTTGAACACTTTCTTCATGAGGGAAACACGTGACATAACCGTCGAGAGTCCCAATCACGCACTTACACACGTTGATCGGTTATGATAAGAATCAAAGTCTGACGTAATTGTTGAGCGAGCATGTTTTGGGCGCAGAGCCATCGAAGAACTATCTTCGAAACGAGCTGTTTACATTGCTGAGATACACGGAATATTTTAAAGGATTATAAGACTCTTTTGTATTGTTAATCTATACTTATTGTTATGTATTTTGATATATACTATGTTTTATATATTGCATACTGTTATATATTTATATATTGTACTTGTATGTTGTGTGTTAAACATTTATCATGTTATTTATTGTTACATTGTATATTTATTGTCATACTTTTATATAATTTTGATGTCTTATATATATTGTTCTTAGTAGATATAATGATATAAATATATCTTGGCATTCTTGATCCGCAATTAAAACTTACTCCTATTAACATACATGATATTTCGGTGGGAAATTTGTTGCTATCAAAAATTATAATCATTAATTAAAAACTGGTTTTCGTTGCGAAAGTTGATGAGAAGACTTGGTACATGTTTTGTCGTACAGTTACTCATGAATAAAATATGACGTATTGTCGTATTTAAAAACGCAGGTTTTTGTTACGATAATGCATTGTATTTTATGTACACGTAACAAATGCTATTTAAAGTATGATCCGATCTAGATAGTGTACTGTAATTGATTATATATGAAAATATTATAAAGTAAATGTGTAATAAATAAATTTCAATTATTGTGAATTTAGCAAAACTATATGGGACTTCGAAAATTGCCTGAGAAATAGGAGAAAGTAGTAGCCAATGTGGGAAATACTTTAATTGATCTGTTCATTCATTTTATTTTGAAATAAATACATCTTTTATAATAATAATTTGAATATTATAATAATATATAATATTCATATAATATTCGAACTATTATAATAATAATTTGTACCCCCAATACGTTACACTGGCAATACAAACTTTGTAGGTATTTATAATATTTACATTGTCAGTAATGAAAATATTATGATAAAACAGATCAATTCTCGTGTATACTTTGCTATAAGCAATAACGAGAAAGGTTAGCTTGGGCTGATATTTGATGATAGCTTTTAACCCCCATGCGCAAGAGTTTTCCTCGACTTGAACGTTACCAAAATGCAAGTTTTTTGGAAGGTGTTGCAAAGTAAACGCGATTATTTCTAAAGTTTTTGGGGTCATAGATTACGAATCTGAAGTTAGAATTTCAAAATTCAAAATGAGATCCAGTATGGCGGTCATATACGTTTCCCTGTGAAAATTAGGAGATTCCCGTCTGGTAAACTTGAAAACTATTACTCGAGAGTTTGAGGAATTATTACGAATTTGATTACAAATCTGAACTCAGCAATTGAAAATAAAAAAAAACAAAAAACGAAAGGGATGTAAAATCGGACTTCGAGCTTCTACATGAAGCATTCTGGGTATACTTTATCAAACGAGAAGTATAGCAAATCCTAGTCCTAGTATGAGTGTTAAACGCAATTGAATCCGTCATTTTGAATCCGTCATTTGAATTTTAAAATACTAACCTCAGATTTGTAATCAGCAACATCTGAAACCCCCCAGTAACAGTTTCCAGGCAAATTAGAATGAAATAGTCGAAATCGGACTGGGAAATTGTGTACTTGACCGCCATATTGGATCCGCCATTTTGAATTTTGAAATTCTGACTTCAGATTCGTCATCTGCGACCTCAAAAATCCCCGAGTAACAGTTCCTAAGCGAATTAGAGCAAAATTGTCAAAGTTTCACCAAGAAATCATGTACTTGACCGCTATATTGAGTCCGCCATTTTGAATTTTGAGATTCTGACTTCAAATTTGTAATCAGCGATCCCAAAAACCTCCGAGTAAAAGTTTCCAGACCGATTGAGTACTTTTAGGCCACTTTTGAAAGGACGAAAAATTGGAAAATTATTACATGAATTTTCTCTTCTTTTACAATTTTCATTGCAATTTTTTATAATAATATGTGCAAAATTCGATACCGCAACTCACTCTATCTTAAAATGCTAGTCTCAAGCTTTAATTTGCGAGGTCGCAGGCCTCTCTAAGTGATTTCGTTCAGGAATTTCAAAAGAAAATGTTTGGACGAGTATATTCGTCATCACGCACACGGGAACAATTCCGTTTGGATGAGTATACTTGGAATAATGCGCGGGGGGGTTAAAGGTTAATATTAGCGGCGCTCTCGCCGATTTCAATGTTTTTGACATATGTAGTCAAGAACATGGTTCTAACTAACTTGCAGAAAGTTTTAGTCGTCACGTCACTCATTATTTATTGAAAAGTCATTGTTAATTTCTCAACTCATTGTTAATTTAAAAATTATTTACTTAATATTATAATAATAATAATTATGATATATTAAAAAAAGTTTCATAAAAATAAAACCTATTTTTCTGATATTGTCACAGTGTACATTGAAAAATGTTAAACTACACATATGTACCCTGTCCCTGAAAAAAAAACTTAGCTTATGGTTAGAGTTAAGTTAGGGTTAGAGTTAAATTAGGTTAGGTTGTCTTCGGGCAGGAAGCGCATGTATTATTTAAAATTTTTTCAAAATGTACGCTGTGTCGAAAAAGTAGGCTCTATTTATAAAACTTTTTTTGTTAATAACTTCTGGATGAGCGACGGCTGAAACTCTCTACGAGTTAGTTAGAGCCACGTCCTCGACAATATGTGTCAAGGTCATTGAAATCGCCAAGGTCGAGGCCATTAGTACCAGTACATATTTAGTAAAATCTTACTTGGAACATATATCCGGCACAGATTCGCCGTAGTTCAATGGCAACTCTGTTTGTCGTCTCTGTATGTGCAGCTGCATGTTTAATTCTAATTAAATGATCGGCTACTCCTCTCTTGAGGATTCTTTCGTGCGTTCGCACGATTGTTTGTTTCCTCAGAGGCATGTGATTACGGACTGATCGCTAGTTGGTAATTATCGTGCAAACATTTGTGAAAGCAGCTGCTTCACCGCACGTATCGCGAAACTCGCTGTGACAAGCAAGGTGCAGGACACAATAGATACGTGTACCTGCGTTTACGGACAACATCGAGTGTTTAAACACAGACGGTATATTTGAACGGCACAGGGACGCCATACTCGTTTGCGGACACGACAGTGACATTTACGTTAATTTTAGTATACACGACGTGTCGCGTATATGTTCGTATTGTTGTTCAGTCGAGTTTGATCGCGAACGCAACATTGTCATTATGAGAGCTTACACGCGAGCTCATGTAACTAACATTATCAAATAGGGGGCAAATGGTAAGAATAGACGGGCGTTCTATCAATGTGTGCTTTATTACCGCATTCTGAAGCGAGAGGAAACTGCTATACCGTTTGAATTCATCGCGTCAGAAAAGGCAATAATGCTAGGTATATAAATGAATACCAAATGAATTCAAACTTTTTTAAGCGGCTAAGAAATTAAGTTTCAAATAATCCAAATTTCTCGTTCTTTTATGATTATGTAGTGTTGACACATAGCTATTAAAAATTACATTTAATATGGCGGAAGGCCCAACATAACCTCAAAAATTATTCAGTTCAGTACGATCAAAAATGGCAGTAGATAATGTGCATATCTGACACTGCATTCTTTACAAATTCCAACAAGGAATATAATACAAGAGCATGCGAACCGATTTATTCCTTTCTCGGCGAAGTATTGTACGATGTATGTGCATTGTAGTTTAGACGGTTTAAAAGCGGCGATTTCAGTCTGAGTGAATCAAAGAACGTCCTGCAGCCCCTCGGAAGTGCGGCAATAATGATTTGGAGCAATTGCTCGCTGAGAATTCAACACAAACGCAAAAAGAGCTTGCAGAACAGTTAGGAGTAACATAACAAACCATTTCCAAACGCCTACGCGAGATGGGAAAAATTCAGAAAGAAGGAAAATGAGTTCCGCATGAACTCATTGAAGCCAACAAAAATCAACAAATGATAGTGTGTGTCTTTCTCTTCTCAATAAACAACGTAGAAAGTCTTTCTTGTAGAAAATTGTTATCAGAAGTGGCGATCAGAAGTGGATATGCCTGTATAGTAGCTAAAGAGAACGTCCTGTGAAATTGTTGCACGATAACGTTAGGCTACATATTGCTTCTACGACAAAAGACATCATAATGAATCATAATGAATCTGGGACGTCTTGCAGCACCCGGCGTATTCACTAGGCATCGCTCCTACCGATTACCATTTGTTCCGGTCGATGTAACACGCCTTGTCCGATATGCACTCCGAATCAGCGGATGAGATCCGAAAATGGCTTGACGACTTTATCGTGTCCAAAGACACAACATTTTTCCGACATGGAATTCATCAGTTGCCTGAAAGATGGCTTAAAGCTATAGAAGACCACGGCGAATACTTTGATTGACAAATTTGTTTTAACGAGATACCGGGATACCGAATGTAAGGCGATTGAGAGGTTGGAATAAGGAAAGACGCAGAGAAGGTAAACGAAATCTTTGTCGATCGATCTCTTCGGGGACGAGATCCGCGAAGCTTGTTGAGGGGACGTCACTTGTAACGCAAATAACGAAGTCCGCTCTCGCGTTCTGTCGCGCGCATATTAGACGCGCGTCCCGTGGGGTGGCCGGTACACAAATCGTTTATTTATCGGGCCGACGTAATCTGACCGACGAGTCAGCCAGGCAGCCAGCCAGCCAGTCGGCTAGCCAGCTAACGTGGGATAAAGGATAGCACGCGAATTTGCACGGGGAATTTATTAGCGGTCAGATTCGTCGCACAATAGCTTGAACGATGCTCGCACGCAGCAGGATTGTTGCTACACAATAGCCGGATACTCGACAATGGCTGTTGATAATTAACCGGCAATATCAAGCAGCCCAAAGCAGACTTCTCGCCAAGCTAATATGGCGGTAACGAAGACCTCATTATTCATGTGAGAGTTCCGCGAGCATTCGCTCGGCCGTGCGAGCATCTCGCGCCTAGAAAGTGTAGCATCGATCGCTAATTAATTGTAATTTTTGCTATGTAAGCTTATTAACCGGTTTATTATTGAACGTTAATTCCAAGCGAGCTTATATACGGGAGCGAGTTCACAAGCGAGTTACCGCGTATCGAGCTC